ATAAAGGATTTAGGATCATAACCCATTATGTATGTATGTATGTGTGTATTTATGTATTTATTTATTTATTCATTCATTCTTTTATTTAACAAAATATAATAATTGTAATTTGTTTTGTTTTGTTATTATAATGTTTAACAGTGGACATATAATGTGGAACACCTTTTACTGAATTAGTTTTGCAAAAAGATTCATATGGTCTACAAAAAAATATCAGCATTAATATAAAAAAGCTAGCAATTTTTCGGTTCCAAGAACTTTCAGGGAATGTTAGTTTATTATTCCCGGAATGTTCCCAGAACATGGACTTTTTAAGGTTTGCATTTGATTAGCCAGGAATTTATGGAATTGGCTATTTCTTTATGGAAGGTTTACAGAACTTTAGAGGAATGTTCAATGTTCTCAAAAATTCTCAAAAAGGCATCAAAATCTTGAAATGGTCCAATTTTGGCTAATCAATGGTCCTGTTTGATATATATCATTCTCTAATTACTAAAGTGACCAGAAATTCCTTGTTGAGTTAAAAACACATTCAGAGAAAATGTGGATGAGGAAGCAGAAAATGTAAGCTGAAACTATTTCCACTCCTCTCATTAAAACACCTTCTCCATTACCGTGAAATATGGATCGATTGGCATGAATTATGCAGCTTGTTTTTAATCAGGTGCAAAAGTGAGAGTTTAAACATGCTTAAAATGTGAAAACGTGCCTGTGATGTATGCACACATGTTCATCATCGCACAGCAATGCTTCACAAAGATGTGCATAATCAAGACTGAGGAAGGCTATCTGTCATTCTGCAGGCTGCAGCTCTATTTATTCAGGAAGAACATTGTGTCTTTGAAATGTAGACAACTGTGGGTATTTCTGAGTCTGGACAGCATGTGCACAGCACATCCACCGCTAATGAGATGCATCCGTCACACAAATGGTCATTTTGACTCAGTGATGTATTGAAAGACCCTTTCCAGTTCTGAATTAATGATCATGTATATCCTGAAAAGCAATGTCAGCATTGAGGTTATAAATCATGATGTGAATTGACAGGCATTGTACTTCATTAGTGGCCACATTTTATTAGATTTTCACCTGCTTAACTTTGCAATATTTGTGCTGCAGACATGAACAGTACCTCAAACCATGGTCTATACCTTTCTTATTGATCAGACTTGTGATTTTTGCCTGACGCATGAACAAATGGGTGAAAAAAATCCCGATATAAATGATTTTAATAACAAAAAATTAAGTGTATATATGTATACATAACTTACATACATAGCTTGCATTTAACTTGATGTACTAAAATAACCAAAACTGAAATAAAAATGAATAAAAACTTTAAAAAAAAAAAACTAAACATGACAAAAACACACAACAAAATGTCCTGTCTTTTGCACAAGAAACAACATTTTCATGAGAAAATGTAAAAATCTTTTTAAGACACAGCTTCCTTTGGGGTTTTAACATGAGTTAAGTATTTTTTTTTTTTTTACAAAATAATTTTAATTTATTTTGTTATTTTAACATTCAACAGTGGGCATATCATGTGGACATTTCATTTTACAAACATGAGCTAGTAAAATAAATACTGTACCTTGCAGGCTATGTAAGTTGCTTTTGATAAAATCAATATGTGTACTGTATATATCTGCTACTAATCAGCTATATAGCATGCTTTTATAAGACGGAGCATTCTCTGATGGTGGAAATGACATTTGAAACATTTTTGGAAGAAAATGGCCAACTTCTTTGCCTTGAATCAGCTAGCTTGCATTTTATGTGCAATATAACTTTTTTGCATAATTTAGCAGAACTGGAAATTATGTACATTGAAAAACTGTTATGGATATTTACCTAGATTTTTCTTTGTTTTTCTCACACATTACAGTTTGATGAACTTTTGAAAAAGAAACAACAACTTTATTTAAGCTGAACTTGTTCATTTCAGGTGGAAATTACATATTTTTAAGAAATTGCTAATAATTTGTACACAATAAAAGGTGGTTGATGCTTATTTTACTTTTTGTTCACATTTTGTTTAAAAATATCTAATAATATTTTGTATATTCTGAAAAGATATTCTGAAAGACTTTATCTGACAGACATTATTTATTAATACATGTTTCAAATAATGACGTCCTCAAATGCCTTCAAGGAAGATTTTGTCAGATTTAGCTCACTTATGGAGACACATTTATCGCTACAGTAAACCCACGCATGCATTAATAATCAGTGGAGAAATGAGCTTCCACTAGGTGTCGCTTTAAGGTTCATATCACAGCTTACATTAGAAAATACAAAGAAACTGTATTTTACGTCGTTTAGCATTTCAATACCATTTCGGCATCAAGTTAATAATGACAAATGTTGCACAGACAGGTTCAACAGGACTAGGCTATTTCAACAGGAACAATGAAATACATATTTAATGTATTTCATTGTTCCTGTTGAAATAGCCTAGTCCTGTTGAACCTGTCTGTGCAACATTTGTCATTATTAACTTGATTATTTTAGGCTAATATTTTACTCAAATAAATATACAGAAATCTTATACTTTTCATATCATTAAAATGATTTAGTCTGAATTTTTACGCGTTATGTTTCTTTTTACTGCTTTATCACTGAGATCAAATACATTAGTGTGAGTTTGTAGAGTTGTATGAACACTCACATGTTGTACCGGTAATATCCAGATGAATCGCTGACCGTCTTGACGGATTTCAGGTGATGTGCGTCCACACCGCCGTTCTCCTCTTTCCAGCACTGCTCATCTTCATCCTCAGAAAACGACACTCTTTTCTCGTATTTGGATCCTCTGCCTTTCATGGACATCCAGACAGCGGCTGTGAGAGCGGACTCCAGCTCTGCTCACTCACTGCAGGTGAAGCTCTGACTCCAGCATCAGGATCAGCGTGTGTGTGTGTGTGTGTGTGTGTGTGTGTGCGTGCGTTTTTGTGACATGAGGACACACATTTGTATAATGACATGGGTATGACAGGTATTACAAGGAGAAGGTGACTTATGAGGACATTACCCCATGTCCCCATTTTTCAAAACGCTTATAAATCATACAGAATGAGTTTTTTTTTGAGAAAGTAAAAATGCACAAAGTTTCCTGTAAGGGGTAGGTTTAGGGGTAGGGTTGGTGTAGGGCAATAGCGCATACAGTTTGTACAGTATAAAAACCATTACGCCTATGGAATGTCCCCACAATTCACAAAAACAAACCTGTGTGTGTGTGTGTGTGTGTGTGTGTGTGTGTGTGTGTGAAAAGAACAGCAGGAGATGAGAGGAGAATCCAGCAGCCCTGCTCACATCCAGCAGTCCTCATTAAACAAGACAAGCAGAGGTCACAGGGTAGTCATGTGGGCTAAATTAATTTTTCTTTTGTAGGAGTTCACTATTAGAGAATACATTTTTTTCAAAGTTTAGAAAAACCTGTCAAAATTGTAGTGTTTTGAAATAAGCACTATTATTAAAATCCTATTATTTAAAAATACTATACTTTATATAAAATCATTATTTATAAAATTATTTTAATAAAAAATGATATGCATACATATATTTTGCATACATTTTAAATATTGTATATCATTATATATCACATAATATATTTATTAGACCATCACCACACAATGTAAGGTTTGTGCCACAGCTGCCCTAAACTAGCAGTATTGGTGATTACCAAAATCTTTTTTTTATGTTTCTGTAATGGTTAATCTACCAGTATGTGTAAGCTCTTTAGCCACAGTAATGTTTCTAATGCTAAAATGTAATTATTGTTATTCATGAATTTTCAAATATGCTGTTTTACAAGAAGGGCAGAAAAAATAGCAAAGCACTTTATACATTTTTTTATTCAGATGCCCAATTACAGTCAATAACAAGAGACTGGAAAGTACATAAAAACAATGCCAGCAAGAATAAAGCAAGCATTTATCAAGGCCAAAGGAGGCCATCGAAAATATTAAGTTTTTTGGTTATTATGTATGAATAAAGACTTGTTTCAGTTTGTTATTTGCCTAATAAATAACAATAACCTTTTTAGTTTCAAACAAGTTTTTGACCGATTCCTAAAATATGTGTTTTCTATTTATTATTACAGGTGGTCTAAAAATGTAAGCACATAGATACATATATTAACTGTTGATCAGTGATTGAATCAGCTGATTGGTTTCTTTTTTACATCAGCAGCCAATGAACTTGCTGCTCAGCATTCAAAAACTTACTTGCTGTAGAAGTTGCAGCATGCTTCAGAAACCCTCCACCTTCCCCAGCTCCACCTGTATTGATCTGCTACAGGGTAGTTTCAGGTATGTTATATATGGGGGTTATTTCATATATATTACATGTGCAGCTGCAGTACTTCCTACATGCTCACTGGCTGCAGCATGTCTGTGGATGTATTGGCAGTAGCAGGTCTCGGTACTTGCTCGGCCGCAGCATGACAGAAAAAAAAAAGTACTAAAAATGACATACACACACACACACACACACACATATATACACATAAGTGAGAGAGAGTGTATTGTTTTATTGCAAATGTTTTAGTATAACAAATACTTTTCATGTTCTGATAATCCAGTCTGATGTTTATGTGTGTCCTCAGATGTCTTTTGATTTAATGGAACAACAAACAAAGAAATTGATTACATAAGAGAAAGCCTGCGGACACCTTGATCAATAGCAGCGTTGACAGACAATTACCAGCGAAAAGGCTGGTTAGATGTGTAGTTTGACAAGCCTCTTCATATGAATTTGATTAACAAAAGGGCAAAGGTCAAGCCAATCAATAATTGTTTTAGTGATGTTGCAATTCAATGAGGTGGTTTGCTTTCTGTCTTTGAAAAGAATACAACTTAGGGAACTGTTTGGTGCTATTCTGTGCAAAAATGTGTCATCAGAAGTGTTCTGTTCAAACTAAATTAGTTTTGGGAATTACAAATAATCATAATTATGCTGAACAGTTGTCTAAATTTGGATAAAGCTTGTCAGCAGAGTAAACTCAGCATCTGTCATTGGCATATAAAAATCCTTTGGGAAAAGATTGACCTAATTTAGTCACAATCCAAAGTTATATTCAAAATAAAAACAAAAATCTTTAAGATATTTTCACTAGACATTTCCTCTGCAGACTTACATTGCTGGCCTTTTCACATTTATCTCAATGAAACCAGAGCTGAACCTATAGAAGGTATCTTGTGAACACAGGATATGTCATTTGTTGCTTGTGACTCAGAGGCGGAAGGTGACTTTACAGAAATGAAGAGCTCTTGGTTCTCCATCATGTCTTATTCTCATGATCAAAGCATCTTCCAGATGTTTTCTTCTAAGAACAGAAGAACATTTAACGTCCTGCTGTATTATCGGCCACTTGTATTGAGTAGAAGACATGGAGAAGCCAGTAGCACTTAAGCAGAATTGAATTGGTGTTCAGTCAATATGAAGCACAGTGTGTGGCCTCGTTGACAGACCTACAGGTATCAATGTCGAGTGGAAAACAAAAGGACCCCAAGTGACATGGATATTCAGAAAGACCAGAACACATTATTATTTTGAAAGACTGAGCTTTTAATGTTTAAAAAGCCTCAAAGGAAAGGTCAAGTCAGAACTGAGTTAAAAAAAAATTATTTATTTATTTTTTGTCACAAGGAATTTCTCATACAATAAATTCTGGAAGCTCACTCATCATCCATATTTGCAACGCTTCCAGGCAGCTATGGACCCTTCTCACATTTCCAGGATTCTCAGAAGTGGAAATTGTTGGGTAAACTTCTAGTGGTGAATGGTAACTACTACAAATGTGTGTGTGTGTGTGTGTGTGTGTGTGTGTGTGTGTGTGTGTGTGTGTGTGTGTTTGTGTGTGTGTCTCTGTGTGTGTACGAGTTTTTGTGACAAATGAGGACATAAATTTGTATAATGACAAAGGTATGACATAGGAAAAGGTGACTTTTCAGGACATTACCCCATGTCCCCACTTTTCAAAACGCTTATAAATCACACAGAATGGAATGTATTGAAAATCTGAAATAGCACAAAGTCTCCTGTGAGGGGTAGGTTTAGGGGTAGGGTTGGTAAAGGGCAATAGAATATACGGTCTGTACAGTATAAAAACCATTACGCCTATGGGATGTCCCCAATTTTCACAAATGTAAACCTGTGTGTGTGTGTGTGTGTGTTCTCATTTGCCCCAATAGCAAAAGAAAAATCTACAACAGCATTTCTATGACTTTCCAAGAGAGAAAAATCAAGAGATTAATTACGTTGGTCAAAAGAGAGGCTTTGTATTGGAAACATTCACACAGCAGCAATAACTAGTTTTGTTACTTTTTATGCCAGGGTAAAAAAAAAAAACACCAAACCTGAACTGATACGCAAAACTACCAAATTTTCTGAGAAGCTGCTTTGCAACGATGTGTATCGTGAAAAGCACTATACAAAAGAAAAGAAAAAACAAAACAAATGTATGGGTATAGAAAAGTAATAAAATAATAATTTTTTATGCAGCCTGAAATGAAGACGGACACAGTTTTTGTTTTGTCCAGCTGTATTTACTCAGTGCAACTTATAACATGCAAGTGAAAGATATAACACCAGCATGTCAGAAAAACAAAAACAGAATCACTGAGTTGGAAAAAGGATCACCACCTTGTGTCAGTATTTTGTTGAACCAACTTTTGCTTTAATTACAGCCTTTAGTCTGTTGGGATTTGTCTATATTAACTTTGCACATGTTGGTGTTATATCTTTTCACTTGATTATTTACAGAGGGGTGATTCGTTTCTATGCCCACTGTACATTTAATAAAAAAAAAATGAAAACATAAAAAACTTTGCTAGATTTACAATGTTAATAAGTGGAAACGCATCATCACAGTCTGTGTAAAGCCTAAAGTCCTATTTACTTGAATGAATCCTGAAATTTCAAAAACTGCTTGCCACATTCACATTTAAATAACACATTTCAATTCAGCAACAAAATCTGACATGAGCTGTCTCACAAATGTTGTTTCTTATGCTCAAATAGCATTAAAAAGCGTATATTTCAGGCTGGACCAGCCAAGGGGCATGTGCAGTCGTATGCACACTAACAGCAGCTGCAGTGATGCAATGACTTTACCAATTGGCGATTGACTCTTATTTAGGCAGAAGTTATTCCTCCATATTACACGTTGCTCTTTCTCCCATTTATAAGGTGTACCAAAATCTGCAAACTCATGCACTATTTCATACTGTTTTTTCACATTAAAAATTCCAAAAAGAAAAATGCCCAGATGATGCACTTAATTAACCAAAAAAAAAAAAAGAGTTGCATCCCAAATTATGCACAATACACCATGCACTTATACACTCAACCGTGCAGTGTATGAAATTTATAGGGTTATTTTGCGAGGTCAGTGCCATTTCCATGGCACAGGCGAGTGTGGTGGGTGGTGAAATGGGCAGCCCGTAGGGAAGGTGTTTAATTATTCCACCTGAACAGCACAGGATTATCCAGATCAGAGACTCCTGGGGCAGACAAAGAGGGTGATTGAGAGACCTATCTGTCAAGACGGACTAACCTGCCCTGTCACTTTTTTGTTAAGTGATTTGGAGATATACAGTAATCAGTGCGCTTCATGGGTGAATGCAAATCTCGGCTTCTCTAGAAGTGAACTTAATTGTAGTGTGTAGTCTGTAATGTATTAAATGTCCCTTAAATTGTCTGTTCATCAAAATGTCATGCTCTCACAGATTCTAATCATCTTCTTGTTCTGTGGAACCGAAGAGGATCATTTACTGATCACAGATCATTTGCACACCAGTTTCTGCAAATATAGAGTCATTTGGGCCAGTGATGCATTTTATCTGC